AGGGAAAGCACAGAAACTCAACCTGATGCTTGAGATATAAATGGAAAGGTCACCACTCAGTAGAACGATTCCATACCTGAGCTAACGAGAAGGTAATCAACCAAGACTTACAAAAAAAAAAAAAAAAAAAAAAAAGCAGGTGAAACCATAATAAATTCCATTCAAGGGGGAAAAAAAAGGCCCACAATTTGATCCAGTCAACAAAAAATTAGGGACATACACCTAGAAGTAATCTGGGACAAAACAGATCTGGGTAAGAAAGACCAGCTGGTCTCATGGGAAAGCTCGAAAGTTTTAAAGGCTAAGTTTACCTTCAGAACATGTTACATCCAGCAATGAGCATTCTCTTCCCGCAACTGCTGTCACATTTTAAAACCGGTTGGGCTGTGTGGGGCTCTGCCAACTGAATCATTCATTCACAGAAATCTGTATAAATTGAGTGGGGAAAGATCAGGGGATCTCGCAAGCTATTCCACAAGGCAGCAGTGACCAATCCACGAACATGGAAACTGTTAATCCAACCATCGTTGTTTGCTGAAACCATAATGATGATGCCTCGTGTTGAAAATATGTAAATTTTCTATCTTCGTTTAAGGGAGACAGCATTATGCTACCCTGTAGTATGTTTAAATATAAAAATATATTAAACATATAAAATAGGAAAAATTAACAAACTCATACTATATTTTATATTCTATATACACTGTAGAATTACACACTACTATAAAATAATCTGTGACCAAATCATAGATGTATACCAGTCATCAGTAAAATTGATGAAGTCATCATTTGCATGTACACATCTCCAGCAAGGCTGTTTCTTTAGCAGAAAGGTTTATTTCTGCAATTATTGACCTTTCTGGCAGTAATACAGAATCCAGCAAGAGCTCCAAACAAACATCCAAGAGTCCAAATTTTTAGTTTTTAATGAAAAAAAATTGTTTTGGGGCTAAACAGACTCCCCCCTTTATCAAAGCTTAGGAATTTTGACGGTGCGTAAATGGACTCGGATAAGGAGATACCAGATAGATCTGCACTGTGGTTTTCTGCTTGGAAGAGTTTCAAAAGGCAAGTTATGCCAGTGTTAACAAATGCAGCCATAAAGCACCAGTGTGCAATATGGTACACTGGGAATGAAGCCACTGACTTAAGTATGGCACCTATCTAGCTTACCACAACAAAACCATGAAATATCACAGCAATATCACACTCATTAAAAAGTCTGTTTCACTCATGCAAACTTAGTGATATGGACACATAGCGAAAAGATGCATCCACAAATGTGCATTTCAAATCATTCCAATTTTCACAAATGTTATAGGTTTCCCTATCTTCTGCTTGAGCTTGATGCTAATAACAGACACTCATAAAATGGTCAGCATTACATGAGGGAAAACAAGCTTTTTTTTTTTTTTTTTAACTAAAGATGTCAATGCTTTGTAGAACCACCTTTCGCTGCAATTACAGCTGCAAGTCTTTTTGGGTATGTCTCTACAAGCTTGCACATCTAGAGAGTGATATTTTTGCACATTCTTTGCAAAATAGCTCAAGGTCTGTCAGATTGGATGGAGAGAGTGTCTGTGAACAGCAATTTTCAAGTCTTGCCACAGATTCTCCATTGGATTTAGGTCTGCACTTTGACTGGGCCATTCTAACACATGAATATGCTTTGATCTAAACCATTCCATTGTAGCTCTGGCTGTATATTTAGGGTTGTTGTTCTGCTGGAAGTTGAACCTCCGCCCTAGTCTCAAGTCTTTTGCAGACTAACAGCTTTTCTTCTAAGATTGCCCTGTATTTGGCTCCATTCATCTTCCCACCAACTCGGACCAGTTTCCTTGTCCCTGCGGAAGAAAAGCATCGCCACAAACTTTCAACAATGGCTTTCTTCTTGCCACTCTTTCTATATAGGCCAGATTTGTGATTGCACGTCTAATAGTTGTCCTGTGGACAGATTCTCCCACCTGAGCTGTGGATCTCTGCAGCTTCTTCAGAGCTACCATGGGCCTCTTGGTTGCTTCTCTGAATAATGCTCTCCTTGCCCAGCCTGTCAGTTTAGGTGGACGGCCAAGTCTTGGTAGGTTTGCAGTTGTGCCATACGCTTTCCAATTTTGGATGATTGATTGAACCGTGCTCTGTGAGATGGTCAAAGCTTGAGACATGTTTTTAAAATCTAACCCTGCTTTAAACCTCTCCACAACTTTATCCCTGACCCGTCTGGTGTGTTTCTTGGCCTTCATGATGCTGTTTGTTCACTAATGCTCTCTAACAAACCTCTGAGGGCTTCACAGAGCAGACGTATTTATACTGAGATTAAATTACACACAGGTGGAATCTATTTGCTAATTTGGTGACTTCTGAAGGCAATTGGTTCCACTAGATTTTAGTTAGGGCTATCACAGTAAAGGGGGCTGAATACAAATGCACGCCACACTTTTCAGATATTTATTTGTAAAAAATTTTGAGACCCTCTTATCATTTACCTTTCACTTCACAATTATGTGCCACTTTGTGTTGGTCTATCACAAAATCCCAATAAAATAGATTTATGTTTTTGGTTGTAATATGACAAATGTGGCAAATGTCAAGAGGTATGAAAACATGAATGAATAAATGTGTGTCCTAATACTTTTGGCAATATATAGATAGATAGAAATACACAGTTGATATAAAAAGTCTAAACACCCCTGATAAAATGTCAGGTTCCTGTGATGTAAAGAAAAGAGACAAAGATAAAAATTGCAGAACTTTTTTCCACCTTTAATGTGATCTATAAACTGTACAACTCAATTGAAAATCAAACTGAAATCTTTTTTTTGTTTTTTTTTTTTTTTCTTGGGGGGGGGGGGGGAGAGGAGGAGTAAACATAAAAAACTACAATAATGTGGTTGCATAAGTGCGCACACCCCTGGGGATGTAGCGGTGTTCAGAATTAAGCAATCAATTATAAATCATGTTAAATAGGAGTCAGTACACACTTGCTATCAATTAAAGTGCCTCTGATTAACCCCAAATAAAGTTCAGCTGTTCTAGTAGGTCTTTCCTGACATTTTCTTAGTCGTATACTACAGCAAAGGCCATGGTCCGCAGAGAGCTTCCAAAGCATTAGAGGGATCTCATTGTTAAAAGGTATCAGGAGAAGGGTACAAAATAATTTCCAAGGCATTAGATATACCATGGAACACAGTGAAGATAGTCATCATCAAGTGGAGAAAATATGGCGCAACAGTGACATTAGCAAAAACTAGACGTCCCTTCAAAATTGATGAAAACACGAGAAGAAAACTGATCTGGGAGGCTGCCAAGAGGCCTACAGCAACATTAACCTCCCTAGCAGTCTGATGTCAGTATTTCTGTGCTCAAAGCGGTACATTTTATTTATTGCATGGAAATACATAGTTTGTTTATTGTAGGCCTGTAATTTTTAGGAATAACTCACTGAAATCTGTCTGAACAAGAGTCTAGTAAACATCCCGGGTATGATAAAATTTGAAACACGAAATCATAAAGTATAATATAAAATAATCATAACAAATAATAAAACAATAATAAATTTAATTCAATAATGTAATCAAGCCAAAAACACTGAAATTTGAAATAGAGCGCCAAGTTCGCACATCACTGAGCTTAGTCGCGTTTTCAGTGTCTGATGACGAATTTCCCCACGAATCATTATCACTCAATTCTGCAAGTGATTCTAATTTACTATCGCTGTTCTCTAGTTGGTCTAAAACCGCTTTTGACCTAAAGAGACTCTTTTTGGAGCCATGGACGTTTCTTAGCTTCCAGGCAGAAAGAACAGTAAAAATGCAGGCAGAGCACAGGACAAAATATATGTGAAATGGTTTGATACAGTAATGTTATACTAGGAGATTTTAGTGTATTGAGTGAATGTCACATTTTAAAATTTTTTAATTTCCCGCCAGTTCCATCCCCCGTATGTCCCGACGCTCGCAGGGAACGGAACCTGGAAGATTGATGTTGGCATCGGCCGTAGGAGATGGGCAGGGACGCTGCAGGGGGACATTGTAGGTACGCAGGACAAGATAAGTGCTGAAGGGAATCCCTGAGCAATGCTACAGGGTAATCCCGAGTGTAGCTCGGGGTTACCGCTTCTGGTACTGAAAGTTAACCCAGAGCTACACTCGGAAATACTGCCAGGGGGGTTAAAGGAGCTGCAGGAATATCTGGCAATTGCTGGCTGTGTGGTACATGCGACAACAATATCCCGTATTCTTCATATGTCTGGGCTATGGGGTAGAATGGCAAGACGGAAGCCTTTTTCTTATGAAGAAAAACATCCAAGCCCAGCTAAATTTAGCAAAAACACATGTGAAGTCTCCCAAAAGCATGTGGGAAAATGTGTTATGGTCTGATGAAACCAAGGTTGAACATTTTGGCCATAATTCCAAAAGATATGTATGGTGCTAAGACAACACTACACATCACCAAAAGAACACCATACCCACAGTGAAGAATGGTGGTGGCAGCAACATGCTTTGGGGCCATTTTTCTTCAGCTTGAACTGGGGCTTTAGTCAAGGTAGAGGAAATTAAAAATAGTTCCAAATATCAGTCAATATTGGCCCAAAACCTTCAGGCTTCTGCTAGAAAGGTGAACATGAAGAGGAATTTCATCTTTCAGCATGACAAAAACCCAAAGCATACATCCAAATCAACAAAGGAATGGCTTCACCAGAAGAGGATTAAAGTTTTAGAATGGCCCAGCCACAGTCTAGACCTGAATCCGAAAATCTGTGGGGTGATCTGAAGAGGGCTGTGCAGAGGAGATGCCCTCGCAATCTGACAAATTTGGAGTGTTTTTGCAAGGAAGAGTGGGAAAATATTGCCAAGTCAAGCTGTGCCATGCTAATAGACTGAGTGCTGTAATAAAATAAAAAGATGCTTCAATAAAGTATTAGTTTAACCACCTCCCGCCAGCCATATAGTTCAATGATGGGCGCAAGGTGGTTCTCTCGTTCTGAGAGGACGTCATAGGATGTCCTCCCATTCTCACTGCGCATGCGCGGCTCAGGGAGCGCACAGCGCGGTGATTGGCAGTGCGCTGTGTCCCTCGGACACAGCGGATCAAGGATCATGCAAAGAGCCGAAGATGTCGGCTCGGTCATGTGATCAGCTGTGTCCAATCACAGCTGATCACATGTAAACAGGAAAATGCCGGTTATCGGCATTTCTCTTCTCTCGAGCTGTCACGCTGACACCTTGTGAGGAGAGGAGAGCCAGTAATCGGCTTTCCGCGGAGGGGACATGTACACTGATCATCAGGGCACTGATGATCAGTGTGCCCTGATGATCAGTGTAGCCCCGGCAGTGCCACCTGTCAGTGTCCATCAGTGCCTTACGTCAGTGCTCATCAGTGCCTCGTGCCAGTGCCCATCAGTGCTAAATCAGTGCCACATATCAGTGCACATCAATGCCACATATCAGTGTCCATCTGAGCTGCCTTTCAGTGTCACCCATCAGTGCCACCTATCAGTGCTGCCAGTCAGCGCCGCCTATCAGTGCTGCCAGTCAGCGCCGCCTAACAGTGCCAGTCAGCGCCGCCTAACAGTGCCAGTCAGCGCCGCCTAACAGTGCCAGTCAGCGCCGCCTAACAGTGCCAGTCAGCGCCGCCTAACAGTGCTATATATCAGTGCCATGTATCAGTGCTGTCTTTCATTGCCCACTAGTGCCACCTACCAGTGCCCTCATCAGTGCAGCCTATCAGTGCCCATCAGTGCAGCCTCATTAGCGCACATCAGTGAAGGAGAAAAATCACTTATTTTTTCTTAGTTTTTGTTATAAAATTTTGTAAATGTTTTTTTTTTTCAACATTTTCAGTGGTTTTTGGTTTGTTTAAGAAAAAATAAAAAAACCCAGAGGTGATTAAATACCACCAAAATAAAGCTCTGTCACAAAAAAAATGATAAAAATTTCATATGGGTACAGTGTTTGACCGCACAATTGTCAAAGTGCGACAGCGCTGAAAGCTGGAAATTGGCCTGGGCAGGAAGGGGGTATAAGTGCCCTGTAGGCTAGTGGTTAAGAGGGACGGCCGGGGGCATTCGTATTATGCCACTAGAGGTGAAATTCTTGGACCGGCGCAAGACGGACCAAAGCAAAAGCATTTGCAAAGAATGTTTTCATTAACCACCTCCCGCCCGCCATATAGTCCAATGACGGGCACAAGGTGGTTCTCTCGTTCTGAGAGGATGTTATATGACATCCTCCCATTCTCAGCGCAGTGATGGGACACAGCGGATTGCCGATCATGGAAAGAGCCGAAGATGTCGGCTCGGTCATGTGATCAGCTGTGTCCAATCACAGCTGATCACATGTAAAGACGGAAATGCCGGTTATCGGCATTTCTCTCCTCTCGAGCTGTCGCGCTGACAGCTCGAGAGGAGAGCCGGTAAATCGGCTTTAAGCGGAAGGGACATGTACACTAATCATCAGGGCACTGATGATCAGTGTCCCCTGATGATCAGTGTAGCCCCAGCAGTGCCACCTGTCAAAGCCCATCGGTGCCAGCTGTCAGTGTCGATCAGTGCCACGTGTCAGTGCCTATCAGTGCCACATCAATGCCATATATCAGTGCATACCAGTGCACATCAATGCCACATATCAGTGCCCATCTGAGCTGCCTTTCAGTGTCATCCATCAGTGCCACCTATCAGTGTTGACAGTCAGTGCCGCCTAACAGTGACAGTCAGTGCCGCCTAACAGTGACAGTCAGTGCCGCCTAACAGTGACAGTCAGTGCCGCCTAACAGTGACAGTCAGTGCCGCCTAACAGTGACAGTCAGTGCCGCCTAACAGTGACAGTCAGTGCCGCCTAACAGTGACAGTCAGTGCCGCCTAACAGTGACAGTCAGTGCCGCCTAACAGTGACAGTCAGTGCCGCCTAACAGTGACAGTCAGTGCCGCCTAACAGTGACAGTCAGTGCCGCCTAACAGTGACAGTCAGTGCCGCCTAACAGTGACAGTCAGTGCCGCCTAACAGTGACAGTCAGTGCCGCCTAACAGTGACAGTCAGTGCCGCCTAACAGTGACAGTCAGTGCCGCCTAACAGTGACAGTCAGTGCCGCCTAACAGTGACAGTCAGTGCCGCCTAACAGTGACAGTGAACAGTGACAGTCAGTGCCGCCTAACAGTGACAGTCAGTGCCGCCTAACAGTGACAGTCAGTGCCGCCTAACAGTGCCATATATCATTGCCATGTATCAGTGCTGCCTTTCAGTGCCCATCAGTGATGCCTGTCAATGCCCATCAGTGCCACCTACCAGTGCCTCCTCATCAGTGCCCATCAGTGCAGCCTCATTCGCGCACATCAGTGAAGGAGAAAAATCACTTATTTACAAAATTTTATAACAAAAACTAAGAAAAAAACGTGTTTTATTTTCAAAATTTTCAGTGGTTTTGGTTTAAAAATAAATAAAAACCCTTAATTGATTAAATACCACCAAAAAATAGCTCTATCTGTCACAAAAAATGATAAAAATGTCATAAGGGTACAGTGTTGCATGACCGCGCAATTGTCATTCAAAGTGCGACAGCACTGAAAGCTGGAAATTGGCTTAGGCAGGAAGGGGGTATACAGTGGGGATCGAAAGTTTGGGCACCCCAGCTAAAAATTTGTATTAATGTGCATAAAGAAGCCAAGGAAAGATGGAAAAATCTCCAAAAGGCATCAAATTACAGATTAGACATTCTTATAATATGTCAACAAAAGTTAGATTTTATTTCCATCATTTACACTTTCAAAATAACAGAAAACAAAAAAAATAGTGTCTGCAAAAGTTTGGGCCCCCTGCAGAATTTATAGCATGCACTGCCCCCTTTGCCAAGCTGAGACCTGCCAGTGTCATGGATTGTTCTCAATCATTGTCTGGGAAGACCAGGTGATGTCAATCTCAAAGGTTTTAAATGCCCAGACTCATCTGACCTTGCCCCAACAATCAGCACCATGGGTTCTTCTAAGCAGTTGTCTAGAAAACTGAAACTGAAAATAGTTGACGCTCACAAAGCTGGGGAAGGCTATAAGAAGATAGCAAAGCGTTTTCAGATGTCAATATCCTCTGTTCGGAATGTAATTAAGAAATGGCAGTCATCAGGAACAGTGGAAGGTAAAGCAAGATCTGGAAGACCAAGAAAAATATCAGACAGAACAGCTCACAGGATTGTGAGAAAAACAATTCAAAACCCACGTTTGACTGCACGATCCCTCCAGAAAGATCTGGCAGACACTGGAGTTGTGGTACACTATTCCACTATAAAGAGATACTTGTACAAATATGGTCTTCATGGAAGAGTCATCAGAAGAAAACCTCTTCTACGTCCTCACCACAAAAATCATCGTTTGAACTTTGCAAATGAACATATAGACAAGCCCGATGCATTTTGGAAACAAGTTCTGTGGACCGATGAGGTTAAAATGGAACTTTTTGGCCGGAATGAGCAAAGGGCACAGAATTTAATGAAAAGAACCTCTGTCCAACTGTTAAGCATGGGGTTGGATCAATCATGCTTTGGGGTTTTGTTGCAGCCAGTGGCACAGGGAACATCTCACGAGTAGAAGGAAAAATGGATTCAATAAAATTTCAGCAAATTTTGGATGGTAACTTGATGCCATCTGTGAAAAAGCTGAAGTTAAAGAGAGGATGGCTTCTACAAATGGATAATGATCCTAAACACACCTCGAAATCCACGGGGGATTACATCAAGAGGCGTAAACTGAAGGTTTTGCCATGGCCTTCACAATCTCCTGACCTCAACATAATTGAAAATCTATGGATAGACCTTAAAAGAGCCGTGCGTGACAGACAGCCCAGAAATCTCAAAGAACTGGAAGACTTTTGTAAGGAAGAATGGGCAAAGATACCTCAAACAAGAATTGAAAGACTCTTGGCTGGCTACAAAAAGCGTTTACAAGCTGTGATACTTGCCAAAGGGAGCAGTACAAGATATTAACTCTGCAGGGTGCCCAAACTTTTGCAGACGCCATTTTTTTGTTTTCTGTTATTTTGAAAGTGTAAATGATGGAAATAAAATCTAACTTTTGTTGACATATTATAAGAATGTTGAATCTGGAATTTGATGCCTTTTGGAGATTTTTCCATCTTTCCTTGGCTTCTTTATGCACATTAATACAAATTTTTAGCAGGGGTGCCCAAACTTTCGATCCCCACTGTAAGTGCCCTGTAGGCTAGTGGTTAAGGGTATGCACTCATGAAACCAAATTATTTTAGTTTTTTATTTTTACTCCCCTCCACCTAAAAGATTTCAGTTTGTTGTTCAACTGAGTTGTACAGTTTATAGGTTACATTAAAGGTGGAAAAAGTTCTGAAATGATCTATCTTTGTCTCGTTTTTTTTATATCACAGAAACCTGACATTTTACCAGGGGTGTGTAGACTTTTTATAGCCAGTGTGTGTGTATCCAGGATGAAGATGAGTATCTGATCTGGTGGGCTGCACTCAAAGGACAACATGTAGCAAAGGTACAATTGTCCTTTAGGACTAGAGATTTTGCTCTTTGCAAATGCCTATTTCTCACTGATTTTTTTAATGCATGCAAATATGACAATCCCCACCATTTGCTACAGCAGGCTACAATAGCTCATTTAGATGACTGCCAAGATGTGCAGCGGATATTTCTAAACCCTAGCAATGCCACTATTAAAAGACAAATTCATCTATTTTATCAGAATATAGACACAAAAGTTCTGATTAGCTGGTAGGGGCTACTACATTATGTATTATTCAAGCTTGTGGTACTGCCTTAATTAATTAGTAAGGGGCAATGGCTCCAGACAATCTGTTACCACTTCCAAACAGAGGAGAATACAGCAGTTTTTGTTTTTCGCCCACATTTAATATACAGTGGGTTTTCATCCAATATTTTTTTATTCCTAACAATGCCCAAAATAAATTTTGATTTCACAAGTTCTAGTTCACACCACCTGTGCATAAAAGCTGATGGACTTGCAGAGACATGAGTTTACATCAGCTTTCATGCGCGTTTCAGTGACTTTTTATGCACATTGACATCAGTTTTCATACACGTCTTTTATGCACAGACAGACATCACTTTATGTTCTACCTTGTTTACATCACAGTGTTGATGTCACATCAGTTTCTTTTTCTGTGCAGAAAACTGCATACACGTTGCAGATTCCTGAGCAGAAAAAAAAAAATCTGCACGTGATACTAATGTTCTTGTGTGACCATGACACATAGAAGACAATTGTTTATTGTGCCCTTGCAGAACACGCACAAAAAATCTGACATCTCTGCACATGGTGTGAACAAGGCCTAACAACATCAGTGAGAATGCAGCTCTTGAGCAAATCACTTAACAGTAGCACTAGACTTTGGTCACTGTTGTTTCGATATCCTTCAGATAAATTGTCAGTGGGCTTCAGGTATAAAGGTAGTCATATCGGGATTTCAAAAAACCTGTTCAGTTTTACATTTACAATTGTTTTTCAATCATTTCCAACAGTCATACAGAAAAAAAATGCCACCACCTATGCATCATAATCATT